CAGCAACTGCAGCCTGTGCACGCCAATCATGCGTGCGCAAAGCGCCATGTGCAGCAAACGTGTTTCGAATTTCTCGCTTCTTCTGCCATCCAGCTGGCCAAACAAACGCTCGACGAACGTCTGCGGATCGTAGATGAACTGGATTGCCAGCAAGTTGCAACATTTCCCAGCATTTTCTCTCCTCGATTTCTTTTCTTTGTGAAGCATCTTTTTTGCTTTCTCGAAACACTTCTTTTTTTTGCGTGTCTTTTTTACGGCTCGATAGGCCATAACCACCTGCAAATAAAAGTCAGCATCATAAATCATTTACTGAATGAGTGAAACAAAACTCGCAGACTGAGCTTCCTGGACGAACCAACGCCTTAACGATAGGCACTAGAGAGAGAGGAGGCGCAAATGAGGAAGAGAACTCGTCATACGATGAAGTGGAGTAAGAGTGCATAGGGAGAACTGCATTAGGAGGGCGCGTCGTTCCTCACTAGAGAAATGCTTCATCCGCAACACAGTTCATTTTCTAAATTCTCATTCAATTCTAGACGCGATCTTATCAACAAAAAATGCGAAGCGAATGAAAAGGAACAACAGTGAGTCGCTTTTATGAGTCTTCCGATTATTTCGTTTCTTGCGGAATTCTTCCATTTCAAAGTAAGCACACCTCTTTCAGGGTTTTCTGATCCTCGTCTTCGCGCTCACTGCCGTCGCTCTCTAAATCTGATCTTTCATCCTCCATTGTACCCAGAAAGAATCGCATCGCAGTTATCTGAAATAGTGAAAAGGTCTCGCATTCAGTACGCCCAGCTGGACAAGCAGAAAGATAAAAATTACGAGTGTCATCTTCGACATCGCTTTTGCTGCAGAAAGCTGATTCCTCGAAAAGAATACGGCGTTTTTTAAGGGAGGAACCTATGACTGTTTCCCTCTGACATTTTGTGGCTTTCAAAATACCCTTTTTATCAGTAACTAACGACAATGCTATTCTATCGTTCAAAATACTAATTAATCTAAAACTGTTAACCTCGACGACGCGTAAGCCTCAGTAACGTAAACGATACTAATCCAGTACAAGCTCCAGAGGTACGTGATCATTACAAGCCTCAAGAGTAAACGCCTTAATGACACATATCTATTGTGCGTCTCAACGGCACACGTTCATTAACGAGCCACCGTGACATAGCGATAATTATGAAAATAAAAAGACGAACGAGAATGCGAGAGGCCCTGTGAAAGCAGCACTCAGCCAAAGCATTCGCTGTTTTAGCATCCCTCAAGAAGCCCTTCCGAAATCCATCAATTAATGCCTGAAACAAATCGGAAAGCAATCATACAAATTAGTTTTGGGATGAGAGGAATGCGAAGCAATTGCCGGAACACAGAACGATAGCTTACCAGTTCGGCTACACGCACCACCACGCGTCTTGACTCCTTCAGTTTCGTAAACAAAAGAGCTTGAACTTCCGACAACAATTTCCGATCCCGTTGCTGTAACGCCAGCTTCTTCAGCAACGCATTTATGGAACCACATATAAATTTTCTGGAAGCTATTTGCTTAATTTCTGGACTAGAGGAACTTTGCTTCAACTTATCTGCCTGCTAGCATGCCAGATATTCATGATTGGCAGAGCTGCAAGAAAATTTACAAAAGTGATCACTCGCAAACGTACCAACCTTAAAACTTTATCTTCGCACGGGATGAGGGTGAAAAACAAATCGAGTACA